TATGAAAGGTGGAATTGAGCATTTTTGATCAAAATATCTGAAAAGATTTATTGGAAAACATGCTTGTCATTCTGATGAATCGATTTGACAATTGAAAATATTTTGTCACCCTACAATGATTTTCTATTGCTTTTCCACTGGTGAGTTCAGTCTTTTGTTCTGAATAGAAATTGTCATGGTAAAGCGTGCTGAATGGATTCTCGGTGTCAGTATGTTATGCAGAATATTTGATGTTCAGGTAGTGTCTACGGTTTCTTCAGACCAGACCATTGTGCGTATGATCAGTTATTTGTGTTTCGTTCAACACTATTGAAGAGTTTAGTTTAATACATTACACGTCTTTGCTTACCATGCTTGTGAATTAAGGCTATATCGAGGTTATACGCACAGTATGCACAAATGCCAATTAGAGATTGACCAGTTGCAGTGCTCACATATCGATGGGAAGATTCAAACAAACAATACTAAATGAATTTACATTACACATTGTTTATTGAAGTATTTTAGAAATGTTTTTGACAGAAGACCCTGTCCCTACTCTTTTTCGCTTTCTCATAACTGTCTCCTACATAACTATATTGCTTTTTATACATTCATTTTATTTGTAAACATCTTGAGTGATTACAAAATGTTCATTGATTTCACTGCTTTGTTTATTTTAATTACAAATCCTAATAAGTAAAACACAGATTCTACTCAATATATCTGAATTAGTTCTGGTTTGAGCTCATGGATGATAAGAGCTTCGGCTATTTTTAGGAGTTTGATATGAAGAAGTCTAGGTAGATTTGAATAAACCATATAAACAACCTTAAAATCAGACTGTGGATCCATAGAGTGATTACAGTCGATTAGTTGTTCAAGTATAGAACTCTTAACTGCTTTCTTTTCACCCTTGCAGAACCAAACAGGGATTTGTTCTCGTATCCGATTTGAAAACCAGTGCTGGCAACGGCCGATGTACCTTGATACACAAAAGCAATACAATTTATGTCCTGTTCCTAGAATTCTTACAAATTAGATGACGTTTCGAAAATTGATCAAAAATCCACAAACTACCATGTGTTAAATATTTGTTGCATAAATATTATTACTTATAGTTTAAAGCTGTATTCAACTGATGTGAGGCTATAAAATGGAGTGCATTCATTTTACTTTAAAAACCTGTCATTTTTTCCCTGTTCCAATTTATCATGAGGTCTGGTTGCATGAAATTTTAGGTAGTCTGTTTGACGGCTTATCAATGGAAACTAAGATTTTTTTAATATCACCTTAATTAAGTAATTCAAAGAAGAGAAATTTCTTGAAATTTGTTGAACGGTAATGTGGTTTATAGACCATTTGTGATCTAGTATATTTGGCGACATATTTGAGGACGACATTTTCTCTTTCAACACTAAAACTTTGATGGTTGTGAACGGGTCTTCTGTCGAAAACAATTCCAAATTAATTCATCAAACAATGTATAATGTATTAAATTACACTCTTCAATAGTGTTGAACGAAACACAAATAACTGATCATACGCACAATGGTCTGGTCTGAAGAAACCGTAGACACTACCTGAACATCAAATATTCTGCATAACATACTGACACCGAGAATCCATTCAGCACGCTTTACCATGACAATTTCTATTCAGAACAAAAGACTGAACTCACCAGTGGAAAAGCAATAGAAAATCATTGTAGGGTGACAAAATATTTTCAATTGTCAAATCGATTCATCAGAATGACAAGCATGTTTTCCAATAAATCTTTTCAGATATTTTGATCAAAAATGCTCAATTCCACCTTTCATACACCAACATTAGTTGGCTCGATTTACCATCGATTTGGTGTGTCCACATGATATAAATGTAGATATATATATATGCTTATGTGTAGTAGTGAAATCATTCTGTTTACAGTTAACGTTCAATCTGTTCAACTGTTCTATCATGTTCCTCAAGTTGACACTGTTTCTACTCTGTATGACTGTGTTATATGATGGTGTTCGTGCTGCTGCTGCTGCTGCTGCAAATGACACAAAAAGCACCACAGTGGAAAAGGGTGAGGATGTGAAGGTTGATAAACCAGTGAAGAATGTAGATGAAGAGAATGATGATGATGGTGATAAGGATGAGGATGAGGAGGACGATCGTAAGGATAAGTCGGCGGGCAAAAAGAATGAAAAGAAAACGAAGGATGTGAAAGTGGTGGACGAGCCTGTTGTAGACGATGTGAACATTACGACAAAATGATGTTGAGATGAGTGTTATGTGACGAACCATGATTGCATTTTAGGTTCTGTAATACTTCTATACTGATTCAGTTATTTATGACTAAATCTAAATGTTTTTACCCAATTCAATAAATAGATGTATACTGTTACTCGCATTGTTTTATCTTCTTGATGTGGATTTAGTAAATGAATTGACTGTTCCATTGAATATTCTGGTGTTGAAATCATATCTGGATATGATTTTCAGGTTTACAGTTTTAATCGTTTAGACTGTTTGAATTCATTTCAAAGATGGATATTTTGTGTGGAACGTATTCGACGTTGTTTGATTATATTTGCTTTTGAATTGATGATATCCATCTTGTAGTGTTTGGATTAAATCGCAACAGAATATTGTAAAGTGTATGCTGTGTATATTCTTTTAGAGTTTTTGTGTAATTTGTTTGGTCTACATTAGTTCGTATTATTTTCGACATTGGAGAAAGGGAGACATTTTCTGAAGGTTAGTGTTTCATTGAAGATAATCGAGTTGGTATTTGAGCGGGTTGTATGTGATCTGGTATTGTGATTTTATTACTAATTGGGAGACCATTTGACTTTTATAATATTTCACGTGAATCGATTTTTTTACTACGGTATATTAATTCATGCACGAAATATTTAAACCTATTTTTGATTTCATGTGGAATCCTCCATACTGTATTATGTACCGTATGATAACCTTTCATGTGGGGAACGTATCGAAACACACTTTGTAACAGGACACTGGGTTGATGTTTTTAAATATTGAGTGTGGTCGTTTCTGCATACTTACTTACTTACTTACGCTTGTTACTCTCAATGGAGCATAGGCCGCCGACCAGCATTCTCCAACCCACTCTGTCCTGGGCTTCCTTTTCTAGTTCTATCCATATTTTGTTCATTCTTCTCATGTCTGTCTCTATTTCTCGGCGTAATGTGTTCTATGGTCTTCCTCTTCTCCTTTGTCCTTCAAGATTCCATGTGAGGGCTTGTCTTGTGACGCAATTAGCTGATTTCCTCAAGGTGTGCCCAATCCACTTCCAGCGCTTCTTCCTAATTTCTTCCTCTGCTGGAATCTGGTTTGTTGTCTCCCACAGTAACTTGTTGCTGATAGTGTCTGGCCATCTGATCCGAAGTATCTTGCGTAGACAACTGTTAATAAACACTTGTATCTTCTGGATAATGGCTTCCGTAGTTCTCCACGTCTCCGCCCCATACAGTAGAACTGTCTTGACATTTGTATTGAAAATTCTAACCTTGGTGTTGGTTGACAATTGTTTTGAACTCCAGATGTTTTTCAGTTGTAGGTATGCTGCTCTTGCTTTGCCGATCCTCGCCCTCACATCTGCATCTGATCCACCGTGTTCATCAACGATGCTGCCCAGATATGTAAAGGTTTCCACATCTTCCAACGCTTCTCCGTCAAGTGTAATTTGATTGGTGCATATTGTATTGTATCGGAGAGTCTTGCTTTTCCCTTTGTTTATATTGAGACCTACTGCTGCTGAGGCTGCTGCTACACTGGTCGTTTTCTCCTGCATTTGTTGTTGCGTTTGTGATAGAAGAGCCAGATCATCCGCGAATTCTAAATCATCAAGCTGCATCCTGCCTGTCCACTGTATCCCGTGATTTCCTCCAGATGTTGACGTCTTCATAATCCAGTCGATGACCAGGAGAAAAAGAAAGAGTGAGAGTAAGCAACCTTGTCTAACACCGGTCTTTACCTCGAATGAATCGGTGAGTTGTTCTCCGTGGACGATTTGGCAGTTTAGTGCATCATAGGAGTTCCGTATGATATTGACTATCTTCTCAGGCACGCCGTAGTGTCGAAGAAGGCTCCATAGTGTCGTCCTGTCCACGCTATCGAAAAAACGCTAACCAGAAAAATCGTTTCTGCATGCCGTGGATTAATTCCATTAATCTTATTTATCAGTACCCTATCAATCTCCACGAATCACTAGTGTAACGAAGGCGAATTATTACTAAATATTCCAGTGTTCAGTATCACAACATCAAATTCGGTTTCCCATATTACGTCTCTCCGATAGCATCAATCTTGTTCCTTTGGAATTATTTTCACAATTCCTTTTTGTATGTGTAAGTTGATTGGTGTAAACTTATGTTATTCATTATAAGTAATGTGTCAAGTTGCTTGAATACATAATAATGATAATAATATTTGGATTTCAGCTTATCGACCATTAGATACTATTCATGAATTAATAATCTCCTTTAAATTTCTCCACTGTAAAACGTTAACCGATATGCTCCTATTTAATTATTATGAGATTTCCTGGATGATTAAGTAAACAACATTCATTTTTAACCAACTTCATTTTGCACTCCCATACTATTCCTTACATCGCATTCTAAATTGAAATGGGAAACAGATTAATTCTTTGCTTTTCCTGTCATTTCAAATGTTGATTTTCTGAATGATTTTGATGAAGGTTTTCATGAATCTTGTGGTCATTGAAAAGGAAGTAAATATTTGTTCTATTTTGGCATCAATGATGCAGTGTTTCTATTCTTTATAGTGACTGTAAACTCCTATTCTATTGATTCGTTACTCAATTCAAATATGAAGGGTGGTTGTTAGAGAAAGTTTGTATTTAAGTCGGTTCGTCGTTTGTGTCACCAAAACGAGAATGATTTCGCTTAGTGACAATACTGGAAAACCAGTACATTCTACTTATAGTTTTTCTTAGAGAATAACACTATGCTGTAACATGTCAAACGACCAATTCTTCCCATGAAATCACATATTTATTATTTCAATGTGTACAAAAATACAGTTTCTACATAAACATAGTGCTCACATACACACACACTAATCAATACAGATACATTCCTATAGTTACAAATTCAAGACATCATATTTCAATTTGATACTGACTGTGTGTTTGACTGAGAATAGTTTAGTTATTGCAAATTGTTGCATAATTCGGTGGGATTTCATCGGTGAGATAACCCAACTGTTTTAATGCTATACTATTTTCATTCATGAACGTGATATATTCTTCTGATAGAAGTGAATCTTCCTTTGACCATGAATCTAGAGAACTTCTGTGAATTAACTGGTCTGTTCGACTGAAGTCAGTTCCATATCTAGTGAATGAATATGTAAAATAACATGAAGTAAATTAAATGAAGTGCAAGAACAAATGACATATGTTCAAAGTAAATCATGTCTAAATAGTTTTGCCATGAATATTCCTGTTACATAAGTAGTGACTCCGATACACTTGTTACCTAATTATTGTGGAATGATTCATTTGAGTTCGACTTGATGTTGTTTTCAAATGCAAATTGTTAAAAACTCTCTATTTATTGTAAGTGTGCATGATGGAATGAGGAGAGTTTACGTAACGTGACTTGAATCTGTCTAAATGAGTTGGATAGTATAATTGTGCGTTAAATCACATTTATATTCGTAGGATGGAGTCAGTGTGTACAGCTGATATTATAATTTGATGATTGAAGTAGTGATGAAGCGCTAGTTAATAGCGACTGAATTGTGAACCACGTAACTGTAGTGGAAATGAAAATCATGAATTAACTTATCTAATCACATATAGAAACGAATATGAGGTTTATAAGGTGAATAATTGTAAATTTATATTATGATTTACTATTTCTGACCTAAATAACCTAATCATTCACGTACATCTCTTTCATATAGCTGTTAAGTTAACTAGACTTCTGAATACTTGACCTGTTTTGTTTTTGCCCACCCTTTAGTTAGTCATTTACATATCTATGACCAAATTGGATCGTAAATGATATATTTCTCCGTCTTCTTCATTGATTTCTAAAGTTTTCGGTGTTTATTTTGGTTTTTGTCTGGACATAACTGTAGTATCCCTCTTAACATTTTTCAGTAACTGTTACTGTTATTGGAATTCTAATCAAAATTAAGTAAACTTTCTAATTGGTTGTTATGTTATCTGCCAAGTTGGAAGCTACCTATTTCATTCCATATGATTTATTGATTGTTATATTTACCGCTTCATCTTTTATGTATTGCATTAATCATTTATAATCGTTTACACGAACTATTTCAAATTACATATATTTATTTTTTAATAAACCAGAACTTAAGTGGAATGCAGGACGTGTGTCGTGCTTATAAAGCTTGTGACTTCAGGCAATATTGCGGCAGTCCGCATAGGATGTACATATGTCAACAAGAGACTGATCAATTGCAGTCCAAAATAACAATGGGAATATACATGTAAACCACAATAAGTGAATATTAAGTCGAATTAATTTTATTATTTTGGTTAAACACATATATTCAGAAGGGGAATTGTGGAGAATTCAGTATTTTTCAAAGTTGAAATCATGAGTCAATTGAAGCTAGAACACCATCGAAAACCTAGAAGCACTGGACGGCCGTTTCGTCCTATTATGGGACTCCTCAGTAGTGCGCAACCGCGATCCTGCCTAGCGAACGAGATTCGTACCCAGGACATACCAGTCTTGCGCCAGAGCATTTAACCGATAGATCACTGAGCCGGTATCCAACAGTGTTGACTGACTCATGATCTCAACTCTATAAAATTACTAAAATCTCCACCAAACCTCGTCTAATAATTTTATAGTTATAAATTTAATTACAAGTAGTATATATTACTGATAATTTCAATCATGGGGAGACTTTCATATATCATAGTTGATAAAATCAGTATTCAGATTTCAATTATGAATTATATCATTCAGCCCATGAATATCGCTCCAATACTTACTGACACACACATAAGCATTCTCTCAAGGGAGGTCTGTTGTGAGATAGGAACTCACTGTAGACAATTGGTGAATGGTTGCTCAACTTCGTGGATCAGTTGAAGTTAGACATTAACACCGTTGGATGCCAGCTCAGTGGTCTATCGGTTAAGGGCTTCGCCTCGAGACTGCTAGGTCCTGAGTTCGAATCTCTCTCTTGAGGCGGGATCGTGGATGCGCACTTCTGAGGAGTACCATGGTAGGACGAAATGACCGTCCACGGCTTCTAGGTTTACGATGGTGGTCTAGAATCAATTGACTCACGATTTCAACTTTGATAAACACATATATATCAATGGGGGGATATGTTGAGCGTTTCTATCCTAATTGATTTAGTGGGACTTCTCACATGCAATAAACATTCTAATCACTTATCATTTTAATATAAATTTAGCAAGAACATATTTTGCATACTTAAGTAGTTTTTCATCCCATGGCAATGAGAGAAATTCTGAAAAGTAGAAAAGTGTAATGATAAATTAATGTATATAGAACAATTTACAACATTCATATATAGTTGTAAAAGATATGAGGCTTAAGAGATCTTGCGACAGCATGGAAGTGAAACATTAAAAGCTGTCATCATACCATTATAGGTTTATCTGAATGTGAGGAAAGTTATTGTACTAGGAATATGAAGACATTGAAGTGTGAGCTATTTAGATGAAGCTCACACAGCTTAAACTACTGCCATGTAGAAAACCTTTATTTTAAACAAGGATTAATGGGTAGGAATACAGGACTGACTAAAATTAAGAAAGTGACTAAAAGGGTGATACAAGATTTTAGGAATTACTTAATGGAATATCACCTACTATTAAAAGAACATAGTCAAATGGTTCATATCCAACAATGTTTAATCTAAGGAACGTAAAGGAGATTTAGCTCAGCCAATATTCAAAAATTTCTTCATAACTATGAAAAGTAGTGAAGAACATCTTAACAAGTTTACTAAGATGTGATATAAGTTCATTTACAGGTGTAGAATCAACCCATTAAGATTTCCAATTGATATAAATTGGTCAAGATAACTTAGACTACTGATTTATAATAAGTAGAATATCGATGAAACAGAAAGAAGCACGGAAAATGATTTTCAAAGAGGAAAATTGAAAAAATATTTAGGAGGAAAATAACCATTTAAAAATTTATTCATTTCTGGATCGAACTGTACAATATGAAACTAGTTCATATTTAGAAATGTGTTCTGATCAGCATTCTTTGGATCGAAATACTTGTACTATTCAATGTACTTAACTCTGATGTACAAATCCTCAACATTATGATTAGTACTAAACTTGTTTGTTTGTTGAAAATGTGATGATCTCATCATTATATTCCAACAAAATATCCGGTTTCTAGTTTAGTCGTACTTTCCTGTAATTGGGTTCATATTAAACAAGTTTAACAGTTGGTTTTATTTCAGTAATTGAATGCAAAAGAATCATTTCTGGTTTCTAGATAATTTTCTTTCATTTAATAGACACATACAATGAGTCGATTGACTGAGAGGAGATTGGATATGATTTCAATAAAATTTTATACTTTAAAATATGATACACAAATTACACTCTAGACAAGCGAAAAATGTTTAGCCTATTTATTGTAATGTATTTCCTCTTTATCTGATGACTAAACTATGATTCTCAATTGAGATACTGAAAGTTATCCGAAAAAGGGTTTTGTGGAGATTGTAGTAATTTATTAGTTGAATTCATTAGTCATTTAAAGCTAGACCACTATGAAAAAACTGATAACACTGGACGGCCACTTCATCCTAGTATGGGACCATCCAACAGTGGGCATCCATAACCCCACACACGGAACTTCAACCCCGGGTTCCCGGTCTCATGCGCGAACGCTTAACCAGCAAACCACTGAGCCAACATTCATTCGTGTTAATGTCTAACTTCAACCAATCCACGAAATTGAACCACGGTCCACCATTGCCCTCAGTAAGTAACTTCCTTTCAACAGACATGGTTGAACTCCACTGGCCACGACTTCTCACTGGAAATGCATACAGCCAGTTACGTGTGAGAAAATGATGATTAATATCAGAAATTGGGTTTTGCGGTTATTGTAGTAATTTGATGGTTGAATTCATGGACGGTGGCGCAATATCATGGATTGGTTGAAGTTAAACAATGACACCATAGGACTCGGGTTCAGTGATCCAGAGGTTAAGCGTTCGCGCGCGTGAACGGATGTCTTGGGTTGGAGTCCCTTTTGTGCGAGATCATGGATGAGCACTTCCAAGGAGTCCCACACCAGAACAAAATGGCCGTCGTGATAATTTTTATGTATACTTAGTAAAACTACAAAATAAAAATGTGTACTTACGTAAAACTTTTTGGATTTCTCTAAGTGGATTCAGTACTAAACATTCATAACGTAAAGTTAAACATTTTTCACTACCAATATATTCACAATCTTCTAATATTTGTGTTGTATCTTCATCCCAAGTTAAAATTGCATCCGTAATATTTTCAGATGTATAATTAGAATTGATATATCTACTGTTAGTGTAAAACATAATTTCATTATTATGTATTTATAATGAATATAATTATGAATTTGCAATGATTGACAGTTAATGAGACCGTTAATTGTGCAGTACGTCATACCTAGACGATACAATGACTTTCTATGATGGGCGCTTTTATATAAATTGTACTGTGTGTTATGTAGTAGCGAAGACATAAGTACGGGTAACTTGCAGGACCTACTATTGGACTATCATTTTTATTGTATAACTATTCGGTAACTAGATTATCTATATCTATATTCATCTTATTGTAAGCTTCATTTTGACCTATTGATTATTATTGTATGATTTACTGTTCCTAAGTTATACTCAGTTTATTGATTATTGTCTCCCACGCTTACAGCCTCATTTGGCCTGGTTTTGTACAAATATTAATTTCTATTTTATGGTGTGGTCTGCCTGTCTGGTATATAGACAAAGTATGTTTGAAATAAACGATTCGCATTATAGCAGCTGCTATTGGTGTTCTGGACTCAAGTGGACGGGTTAGGCGGATAAGGGCCAATAAGGACGCTAGATTACTCATATTAATCGAACGTCATTGTCACAGTGTGAAGGTCGTAGAAGGCGTATTCTATTGGTGGATAATTTAGGCGGATTACGTCCTTGATAAATTCGTAAGGTCATAACGAATCAGCGACGACCTTGATCAAGTCATAACAATTGGCTACAGTCTAGGTCAAAAACATAATACTGTGTTATATTTTGGACATCTTATATTATACCTAACATGACTGACAAAGGAAAATTAACACCAGAGCCGAATGTCATTGTCAATAATGTGTATTTCATCTTATAAGAAAATGGAACGTTGTTAATGTTAACCAATAACGCTTTAGAATTGATTTGTTACATGAAAATAATCACCACTCTGTCACAATTTTTTATATAATACATTTATAAAACAAATGAAATTTACTTGAGAACTTACGCTATTTTTGAAGCAACAGTGGCTCTTCCATCTCGTACTATGTGAATAAACTTTCCTTTTGGAAATAAGATATTTAAATCTTCAAGATAATCAAATGATTCTGTATCTCTGTGGCATAGTCTAGGTGCTCTTGGACCCATTTCTTTAATTAGCGTTGTAATAAATGCAGCCGCAGCATCGTTCAACACATTTGCAGTGATACCAGATTCTACTAATCTGTCCATTGACCGTAGTCGGTTCCTTCTGTATCTCAATAAGAATTTTGTTATAATTAGTTTAGGTCTGCAACTAATCATTGAATGAGTATCTAGAATGATTCCCAGCAGTTCAGTACCTGGAAAAATATTGTGGGGAAGTGATTAAAATAACGTTTAATTCACCAAGGCTTATAAATCCTTAATGGTACTGATATTTAAACATGTTTTTAGCGAGTACCTATCGATTCTCTGATATGATGAATTAAATACCCTACTGTCGACAGTGTTTTCACGGAGATAACTAACAGTCAGTTTTTGCTTATGTGAGATTTTATAAGGGAGTTTATTTAAAATACAATATTTCAGCCTCTCCATAGTTTTGAAAAAAAAGAGAATGAAAGGAAGATCTACAACAGAACATCTTCATGCTTTAAATATACTCATTCCACTCTCCCTATCACTGAATCGCGAGTATTTTGTCTGTTTCATTAAAGAGGAATTAAATTCATGTTACTAGAAAACATGCAGACTCTATGTTTGTCTTTGTTATTGAGAACAGATATATGAAACACTTGGAACAGTTAGTGAAACTGATAAATTTAAAGGAAAACTCATCCTTTGTACTATTTAAATTTGTGTTAGTTTTGTTTCGGTTACTTGTTTACTCTGAAGAGGTGACAAGGTTGATTGGAGAATCCTTGTGAGCGGCCTATGTTTCTCCATGAGGGATGACAGGCATAAGTAAGTAAATAATGAACACATTCATTTATTCTGTACCTCAATTGAATTTCACTCAATCACAATTGTTCTAATAAAGATTTACATAAACTACCTTTCTCATTCTTGATCATAGATATTGGAAAATGTTCTGAATACTCTAAGAGTTAAATTCGTTTCTTATTGGAGTCTTCTTAAAAAGGTGGTCTTACTCTTACCTTGAAAATAAGTTGAATATAACTTTGAAAAACTACTTGAATTCTGTTAACCTTAAGTACTATAATATGGCTCTAAAATAGGTAAATGAACGCATATAATTATTCCGATTGATAAATTAACGAATAAAATAGAATAGCAATATTTAAGCTTTCTTCAATACACAGAAACTTCACATTACGACATTCGTAACCGCTTGTCACTGGCGAAACAAACATATTCCAGGTCTTCTCTGTATATGAATGACTTTACCTGTAAATTTTCTAGATTCTGGAATAATCTACCACGATCTATCCGTACAATAAAATCTCTCCCATTGTTTGTTCGGTGCAATGATGCATACTGCTCCTCTGAAAATGCATTAAATGTTCTAGCGCCTGTAAGTGTATTTTACTGCAAAAGTGAGATTATAGGAACTTTAAATATTTAATCACTTACATGCGGTAACTTTACATTAACGCTGACCCTAGCAACCTTAACTTATTTGAATAATATCTAACATGAACAGTGGTAAACCTGACCAACATATTTTGGCAATCATTGTTTTATTGTTCCGTGCTCTCTGTTTTAATTTTACTTTCTCTAGTTGTAGATAACTATCAATAACTCGTCCTGGCACTGGAAATAACCTTAAAGAACACCCTTTCATAAATCATCAGGCTATCCACTTAAGAAAAAATTAAAAGTTCCCTGGTGATGCATTGAATTGCCATGATACATGTCATAAATAAACTACCTAACAACTACTGAACCAGCAAATATAAAGCAATCATATATCACATGTTTGATCTCTACATCTAATGTTGTTATTTATATCAAATTGATCATACCTGTAAACTGATGTGAGTTCTGTAATTATTATTATAATACCATGGTGAATAAAACTTGTCTACCTGTATTTGTATGACCTCCAATAAATGTAAATGGTATATCAGATGCATTATTGTATACATAAGTTTTCTTTTCTATCCTTTTGTATAATGTATGACAATGATGTTCAATGATATGAAATTGATTCAATATAAATAATCCCAATAATATAATAATTATATATCCAATAATCCAGAATAATATACCATATTGAAGTTGACAAGGATTAGATATGAACTCTATTAAATTGGTTTAAAACAAATGGGAGGAGATTCGATGAACATGATAGGAATATACATTAAAACAATAGTTTTATAGAGTTGAGATCATGAGTCAATTGAAGCTAGAACACCATCGAAAACCTGGAAGCACTGGACGGCCGTTTCGTCCTACTATGGGACTCCTCAGCAGTGCGCAACCACGATCCCGCCTCGCGAGAGAGATTCAAACCCAGGACATACCAGTCTTGCGCCAGAGCATTTAACCGATAGATCATTGAGCCGGTATCCAACAGTGTTGACTGACTCATGATCTCAACTCTATGAAATTACTAAAATCTCCACCAAACCTCGTCTAATAATTTTATAGTTATAAATTTAATTACAAGTAGTATATATTACTGATAATTTCAATCATGGGGAGACTTTCATATATCATAGTTGATAAAATCAGTATTCAGATTTCAATTATGAATTATATCATTCAGCCCATGAATATCGCTCCAGTACTTACTGACACACACATAAGCATTCTCTCAAGGGAGGTTGTTGATCTCCTGTATTTGCTAGTATTTGCTACCATATCTTTTTTACTTTGTCTTCGACCTGATAAATTAGGCCTCTGATTATATTAGACATATAGCAAGCAATATTTCAGTTAACGTTTCCTATGTACGACACTACACGTAAATCCTTTGCATATACCTGCATACACGAACTACATAGACCCAAGAAGTTCTGTAGTTCTTATACATAAACATACAGATTAGGTAGCCTGGTGTAGTTAAGTCAGCCACAAGTTACGAACCGATTTAATTAAGAATAAAATGGAGTGGATAATTAGTCCAATCTCCATTGACCGCCTAAGTTAACTAGTAAGTTTATCTCTACTATATAACAGCGCAAAGACGACTCCTTAAGTTGAATCTCTCTGACTTATTCTAAAAGTAGATAAGTATTTAAAAATGACCATGTTTATACGATTTTATCCGCCTATCAAGATAGATAATAAAGGATGTAACATTAAAAAATCAACCATGACTTACTTTTCATTTATATTTACTTGTTTACTAATTAATAATGATAATAATAAATATTCAATGTAAATCTAACATACAATATGTGTGTGTGTGGGTATGTGTGTGTGTGTGTGGGTATATGTGTGTGTGTATTTGTTTCTTACCAATACTATAGAATATTACTTTTCAACCAATCATTGAATATTTATTTATATAACTGAGTCATTTCAGTTATTTATTTTTTTAATAGTTCAGATCATGGATCAATTGAAGCTAAATCACCATTGAAAACCTAGGAGCACTGGATGGCTGTTTCGTCCTAATGTAGAACTCTTCAGCAGTGCGTATCCACAATCTCGCCTCACAAGATTCGAACCTAGAACCTATCAGTTCAGTGTATGAGCGCTTAATCTTTTTTATTTTGTTTTTACATAGTTAAAGTTTTAAATATATTTATTTACAATGAATTAATTCAATGACATTTTTGTCTAATTTTTTGTTTATCTGTCGAATATTCAAATAATTTATTTTTTAGAATACAAAAGAATCAGTCATTATTAATTATACTAACCATCAGGTTTTCCATTGGGGTGTTCTAACTTCAATAGACTTATGATCTCAACTACTGAAATGACTAGAGTATCTACACAAACCCCCCCCCCTCTGATATTAATTTTTCTTTTTTTACTTTTTTAATAATTGAATTCATGAATCAATGAAGGCTAGACAACTATAGAAAACATGGAAACAATAGGCGGCCATTTTGTCTGAGAATTTTTCTTTTTCTTTTGGTTTTTTTTGTTAAAATAATTATACTCAACATAAATTAGTATAATTAGTCAAATAAGAAGGTGTGGTCTCAATTGTCAATTGAATATAATTATGAAATCAATCAAATAAGAAAAATTAAAATAATATTAATCGTAAATAAATTAAAAAAAAGGGAGTCCTACAATAGGACGTCCAGTACTTCCAGGTTTTCCCTGATGGTCTAGCTTCAATTAACTCATAATTTCAACTAAATCTCCACACAAAACCCCTTCTGATAATAAAAAAAATATAAGAATAATTGATTTTGATTGGTTATAATTAGTAGAACATTTAAATCTATTAAAGAGTGAATTCCTACAGTATGATTGGAATGATTGTGTTTTTTTCTTCTTTTTTTTTTGAAGGAATATTGTTCATATAATTGACATGAAGTATTATCTCATATAAAATTTACTGTTCAAACTTATCATAAATCCAGTAGACGAGTAAATGAAAAGTAAGTCAATCAAATGTATCATATTCTATAGTTGAATTCATGAATTAATTATAGCTAGGTAACTATGGATAATCTGGAAGCACTGAACAGTTACTTCATCCTAGGAATTGAACTCCTAGCTAGTGGGATTCGAACCCAGGATTTATCGGTATTGTGCTTCCAGATTTTTCATAGTCGTCTAATTTAAATTAACTCATGAATTCAACTATGAAATTATTAAAATTTTCATAAACCCCCTTTCTGATAATGTATCATTTTCAATATAAGATATATAATGTTTCTTTTTATTCATTTTATATGAATGTTCCTATTGATTAAGGGGATATAGTAAGGGGTGATTATTGATTTTTTTTTAAGAAAACATTTTTACTTTGTAAATTACCTATTCTGATATATTATAAGATTCGATTCAATTAAGGTTACCTTAAATCTGTTCAACAATGTTAACTATAGACATGAAGTGAAATAGACTTTAACAACATATTTGTCATGAAATAAGAATAACTGGTATATCTGGTAGTTCCTTGGTTCGAATCTCGCGAGGTGGGATCGTGAATGCGCACTGCTGAGGAGTTCCACAATAGGACGAAACGGCTGTCCAGTGCTTCCAGGATTTCCATCGTGGTCTAGCTTCAATTGATTCACGCTTTCAACTATGAAAATACTAAATCTCCACAAAATCCCCTTCTGATAATAACTAATTAAAAGTTGAGAAATAACTTATATGACAACAAAAATATCTGGTCATGTTGTTAAGGTAACCATAGTAGATTGAAATTCGTTCATAGATAACAATAAATTTCAATAGAAATGCAGAATCTTATCAATGTTGTATAGAATGTAGTTTAAATCTTAGTCTAAATATATTGTTTCGATATAAAGTGCGTTATTTTATAATAATGAATCATAGAGGTTTGATCATTTCTTCATATTTATGACAATAGGAAGGATTCATTGAAATCTAAATACTTTTGAAAATCTTAATTTATTTTAAATTCACTTGATGTTGTTTGCTTGTATTTCCCCATTGCGGTTTAGAACTGCAATTGATCAGTCTCATGTTGACATAAGTTCATACTCTGTGGATTGCCTCGATATAACCTTAAGTCACAAACGTTTTAAGCAGAGATGAATTGTGGTTAGAAGTGGAATGGAGGATGTGCGTTTCGTCCTATTTGAGACTCGTCAGCTAGATGTACCTGTATCTTGAAGTTGATGTTCTCTCTTGAACTCGAACCTAGAACCGTTCGCTTCATACCAAGTTAACTTAAAATTTACCGCATAGCACAAGTAACAGACTATCAGAACTCAGTAGTTAAGTTGAGAAAGCGATGGCGTTTGGAGAAAACGGTATTGGGTTCGAGTCCCAGAGCGAACATCAACTCAGAAGCTGGTATATCCATCTGACGAGTCTCAAATAGGGTGAAACGCACATCCTTGATTCCACTGCTAGCAACTATCCGTCTTTGCTTAATTTGTTTTTATTGTAAATAATTTTCTTACTCAATTAGCAATTAGTGTTTTTCTTCTAATATTATGTTATAATGAATCTGTTTTAAACGGTTGAAACTATTTGTCCAACTTCTTGTCTATCAACAAATAGCGGCTGTAAACTAATAATCAAAAATTAGACTGTTTGCAATTCGCATTCCCATTCCTTCATGACTTCAAGTTAAATATAATACTGATTTTTGTTTTATTTTTCAGTAAACCCAGTAAAGTTTAAATGTATGACTAGGTAACAAAGTTTCTGTTCAGCCCTTAAAGCGTAAGACTGAACTCACTTTAACCGCTAATTTTTAATACTTATTTGAATTGTTAGCGAAAATTTCTTGAATCAAACATTGTTGAATCTTAGTGTTATTAGTCAAATATAAATAAATATGAGAATATAGATACAAATACTGTAGGGTTATATGTAGTTTCCTAGTTTTTTTCCTGTTATTTTATTAAGTTTCGGGTTTAATTTTTATGATAATCAAACAATATGAGTTAATGGTATTGTGGTGTGTGCTACTGATGTGGATAGATATAAGTAGTATGTATCATCAATCGTAAGTGAAATGACCGGGAGCAGAGGATTAAGAAGATCAAGTAGAACACAGCGAGAATAGAGAGTGATTGGTGTGGAAACAGAAGAACAATCAAGTTTGTGACAATTGATTGACATTTTGCAAATGTAGTATTTACTGTATGGTTCTCAGATTTTACTAAGACGTTCTGTAATTTTGTATACAAGCAATTTAGGTAGTCTCAACTGGTGTTCTCATTCACTACAGTACTATATTACGCTATTGAAATATTTTGGTAAATTCTATATTGGGTTGTAATAAGTTAAGGTGTCGAAGTTCATACTTTGAAGTAAATGATTTCCATTTCTGTGAGGTAGGATTACTTCTCACCATTAATTTTTTTCATTAGGCAAAATAAAGTGGAAAAAACGTTGTTGTCTACTTATAAATTTATTTCAGTAGTTTAAGTCTAAACTAACTGAGTACTTACATTCACCTGATGTAATGGTATCAATTGCAGACGTGTCTGTTAAATTAAAACTTCGTCAATCTGAAGACAGAATAAGTTTTCAATAAAGATGTTTAAAGTATGTGGAGAATTTGAATTCAGAATTCCTTTTCTGTCTGAGAAGGTATTGACAGTTTACTTCTTATATGTCATAAAACCATACAGAAAAATATTTTGTTTTATCATGCGAATTTTTCAGAATATACAATAAGGATATGCTATGGACAGTTTAAGATATTTCTCTATGTTATTGGATGGTTCAGTATTATACTATTGGGTGTAAATATATTTAATCGAATAAACTCTATCAAGTATCAATTCCAAGTATTGTATGAATTACAAAGAAATAATACCAAACAATATGATCCAAGTGATTTACCTTTCATATTTATCGGAGGACATCAAAGTACAGGTAAACTAGATTTGCCAATAACATTAACTAATGTAAGTAATGATAATAACTTATTTTAGAATAGGGTTTGTGGAGGACTAAGCTAGTCATTCTGATAATAATCATATACTCACTAGTAACTAGCTTCAAGATGAAACTCCTGGAGTTCTAGTGAGAAGCCGTGATCAGTGGAGTTTTATCTGTGTCGAGTGGAGAAATCCATTTCAGACAATGAATGAAGGGTTGCGCAAGATGATGAATTGATAGACGTTAGACAATAATATCCGTCAGACGTCGATTCAGTGGTCTAGAGGTTTAACGTTTGCGTATGTGACCGAGGGTTCTGGGTTCCAGTCCCTCATGCTGGATCGTGGAGGACGAAAAGGCCGTCTAGTGCTTCTGGGTTTTCGATGGTGGTTTGGCTCGGATCGACTCGTTAATTAAATCATTAATCTTACTTTATTAGTTTCATTTGAACAAGTTGTGGTGCTGTCTTTACAACTATTTGTACAAAGGACTGCCTACAACATCATACAAATTAAATCACGACTATTTTAAATCTAATAATTGTCTATTGTCTATTCAAATTTACTGTTGTGAGATCGCCTTGCATTTGAATGTCCAGTCACAAGTGTAAACTTGCCGTAAACTTATCACTACGTCAGTCATAACTTTCAAATGCAATCTCTCATACAAATTAATGTACAGAGTGTTGTAAATAAAACGGTAGTGTTACACGCCAATTAAATTTCATTAGCTGTTTTTCTAATAGTATCAATCAAAGATTGTTCATTTTCCTTTAAACAGTTGAAATTATTTCATGTAGATCCAGGTTTAAGCAACATTTAGTAGCAAAAGGTTTATATAACTGTTGATGTAAAAGTATTATATGTGATCTATGACATATCTCACAGTTTGGAGTAAAATGTTCTGTAGGAAAGTATTCACCATATTAATATTTCACTTTATTTCAGGTACCGGATTAATGCGCATCCTTCTGGATATTCATCCATTAGTTCGTTGTGGACCTGAACCAGTCGTGACTAGGGAGATATTAAAGTATAGAAGACATTTGGAAACAATGAGTGATCAATTGTCACAGTCTGGGATTACTGAAAATATGTTGGATGATGCCAGTGCAGCATTTATTGCAACAGTTATTCAAGAAATGGGTCCCCAAGCTCCAAGACTTTGTCACAAGGATCCCTCATCATTTATATATCTTGAGGAACTGGCTGATTTATTTCCGAAAGCAAAATTTATTCATATGATTAGGGACGGAAGGGCTGCTATTGCGTCTACAATACAGTAAGTATATCTACATAGCTTAAAAAAGTATTGTCAACTTATTATTCAACATATCATAAAATTTGATGTTCATTATTCTAGAACTTCACAATTCAATCTGTGACGACGATAAATGCCAGTTTTACGAGAGGCTTCAACCGATCATTATGAAGTTCTCAGAAAGAGACCTGACTGTCCTGATGGGAGATTTAAATGCTTAAGTCGTAGTGGACAACGCAGGATATGAAAATTATCTTCCTTTCTATTTTTTTGGCGTTTGATTGAATTAGGAAGACCTCCATATCTGAGGGGAAGCACGGAACATAGAGGAGGGCTTGCATGAAGTCAGATAATTTGGACTAAACAGGTTACACAGAGAACATCAATCCAATCACATTTGATGGAGAGAATCTGGAGGAGGTGAAAACTTTCACTTAACTCGACAGTATCATCGACGAACAAGGAGGATCTGATGGAGACGCAAAGTCAAGGTTTGGCAAAGTACGGGCGAAATTCCTACAGTTGAGGAACATTTGCGGCTCAAAGCAACTGTCAACAAATATCAAAGTCAGAATCTTCAATACGAATGTCAAGACAGTCCTACTGTACAGAGCTGAAAATTAGAGAATTACCACAACCGTCCTCAGAAAATTACAAAATTACAACAATTATCTACTCGAGATACTGAATGTCCGTTGACCAGAAACCATCAGTAACAGCTTACTATGAGAGAGAACAAAGCAACTTCCATCTGGCGAGGAAATTAGGAAAATATATTGGAAGTGTATAGGACACACATTGAGGAAATCATCAAACCGCATCACAAGTCAAGCTCTGACTTGGAATCGTGAATGGAAACGGAAGAGAGGAAGAGTAGAGAATTCACTGTTTGGGGAATCGGATAGAGGCATGAGAAGGTTGAATAGGAAGTGAAAGGAACTGGAAAGGATTTCTGAGGACAAGATTGGTTGGAGAATGCTGGTGAGCGGTCTATTCTCTTCAATGAGGGTTAACAGATCTAATTAAGCAAGTATTATAAAACTGCAAAATTTAATCTAAAATGAATTGAATTTGTTGCTTTATTATTTCACTTTTCAGGAGCAGCATTCCAATGAATCCGTATTTGCAAATCACATTTAAAAACCATCGTCTTCAGATATGTCCTTAATCACTCACTTATCAACTTACTGGCTTTAGATGTTTGAATTATGAGATATATAGTTAAAAACGCGAAGAGATTGAAAGTCTACTGTATGAATAAGACTTAGATAACCCAAAATCAATAGAGAATCTTTAAAGAATGTTCGTCACAAGTTGTTTACTTTTCGGATAGTCTATGACTATGTTTTATATTACGATATTAACACAATTCTTATATGTCAAACGGTTGGGAATTATAAGGAAAAAATCAACAGACCTATGCTCTGAATGTTTTAGGCATATTATATCAATAAACGTTTCTTAAATATCAGGCGAAAGAAACTTCAGGAAAGGGAACACTTAACGTTATAATTTCTTGCAGAAATTGAACTTTCAGTCAGTGTCAAATGAACTACTTCTCCGAATACGCTAAAGTATTTGCAACAGACATATATTCATAATTTCATAAATCAATTAAAGTTATACCACAATGGAAAACCCGGAAGCACTGGACAGTCGTTTCATCCTAGGTTAGGACTCCTCAGCAGTGCGTATAAATGATCCTGTACCAAAGGAACCTCAACTCAGGACCTCCGGTCTCGCGCTCGAACGATTAGCTTACAAACTGCCGAGCATGCATCCAATGATGTTAATGTTTAACTTCTGTCAATCAACGAAATCGCACCACCGTCCAGCATTGTCTTCAGTGAACAAATACCTCTCAACAGACACGGTTGAACTCCACTGATCACGACTTCTCACTAGACCTCCAAGAAATACATCTGGAAGCCAGTCACTAGTGAGCACATGTAGATTATTATCATGAGGTTGCATTGTGGATATTTTAGTAATTTTTAATTAATGAATTCATGCGTTGAATAAAGCTAGACCACCATGGAAAACCTGGAAGTAGCGGACGGCCGTTTCATCCTATACTAGGTCCTGGGTTCGTGTTCCTTTGGTGTGAAAAAAGGATGCCCACTGTCGACGAGTCCCATTCGAATAACATATTTATATTTTGAAATATTTTAAAATCAATTCCCCTGATACACAAAATGCTAAGAGGTACATATAAATTAACGGAAAGGTGGTTTAAAGATGGTTCTTTGTCCACTAATTATGCTATGAAACAAGAGAAGGCATATCTCTTGATTCTTCTACATTAAAATAAACCACTCGTGAAAACGCAGTGGTTATCATAAGTTTAATGTGGGTAGCAACAAACAGTTTCATCACGCAAACGCAAATCAAAGTCATATGTCTCCAGTGTCTTTAGTGGATTTCAATGATTTTATTCTACCTATCCATATAAATGTTCTCATCCGTGGGTGTATTTTTGTACTTACTTATTCATTTTCTGTCTAGCTGAGAAACAAAATTATTTAGCTTTGTTGGCTGGTATGTTCATCCCATTCCTGTAAGCGCACAACTTCTCTGCCATTTTGTTTGCTTATGCGAATATATGAACCTTAGGTCTCACGAAAACATTTCGTGTTTCTACTTCTGATACAACGTTGTTATAAACGAGATAATTCATAGTGTATGTACGACATGACAGATCAGTATACGATGGAAACGAATAATGGTAATGCATTTACTGGTAAGATCAATTGGAAACCGTTAGTAATGGTAGGTAGCTTGTTGAAGAATTATTTAAAACGAAGGGAGAACTGAATATGCAGAATTCTTAGCAATTATTTCACAAATAGACCATTCAAGCTCACTTCTTATTTATATACGACATATCAAAACATCTGTATGATATTCCTAGAATCTTATCGTCACCTATTTATAAATAGCAGATATTCTCAACATGTAGTTTCTGAGATGTACAGACAAAACCATGGTATGCTATGTACCTACTATTGAACATTTCTGTAGGAATAATCATGTACAATTTAGATAGAAAGATTTTTTTCAACAATATCGTTTACTCCATTTATACAACCGTGTTATCAGTTACATAAGAAAAAGATATTAAGGAAAGAACTAAATATTATATAGTTGAGGTCATGAGTCAATTGAAGCTAGATCACCATGGAAAACCTGAAAGCATTGGACGGCCGTTTCATCCTATTGTGGGACTCCTCATCAGTGCGCATCCACGATCCCATTTCGCGAGACTCGAAATCAGGACCTTAATCGATAGAGCACTGAGCCGACCGGCATCCAACGGTGTTAATTTCTAACTTCAACCGATCCACGAAACTGAGCAAACATTCACTAATTTCTTCAGTGAGTTGATATCTCGTAACCGACCTGGTTGAACTCCACTGGTTACTGCTTCTCAATAGAACTCCAGGAAATACCTCATGGAGCCAGTCACTAGTGAGCATATGATCATTATCAGAAGAGAGGTTTGTGGGGATTTTAGTAATTTTATATAGTAGGTCCTGGGTTCGTATCTCGCGAGGCGGGATCGTGGATGTGCACTGCTGAGAAGTCCAACAATAGGATGAAACGGCCGTCCAGCGATTCCAGGTTTTCGATGGTGTTCTAGCTTCAAGTGACTCATGATCTCAATTATATAAAATTGCTAAAATCTCCACAAAACCCCCTTCTGTTAAAGAATTAAATAATCAAGTGTTCGGAACTTTTAACTAGGAAAAAGCGATCCCTTAACGATCGTTAACTTTAAAAAGGGATAACAAAGAAAAACAAAAATATGTGAAACATAAATGTCCACTTGACATAGATGAGAGGGGTGGTCAATAAGTATACTAAAATGATTGTAATTAAAACGAGTAAATAATGTTGGAGAATATTTATAGCTCAGGTGGATGATTTTGATGGAGTTTTGTTCTCTGAGCTAGATGGTTTAGTCGTGGAGCTTTGATCGTCCTTCTAAACGACATCATCAGCATAAACTTCGGGTAGAAGTGAAGTGCTTGAGTAAATAATAAAACAAACTTTGAAGGAACTATTGACAGGTAAGCAAAGATGGATAGTGGCTAGCAGTGGAATCCAGGACGCATGTTTCGCCCTATCTGGGACTTGTCAGTTGGATGTACCTGCATCTCAGAGTTGATGTTCACTCTGTTACTCGAACCCAGTACCTTTCGCTTCAAACTCCATCGCGTTATCCATTCAGCTACTGAGTCCTAATAGCCACTTGCTTGTGCAGGTAGTTTGTTTAAAAAGTATTCATTACTTTAATATATAAGATATTCTAACAGTATGTATCGAATTGTCTCTAGGATGAAACTCAATTTTTTTGATAACCTTCTCTATTGAAATTATGCAATCGTTAGATAAACTGTATTTATTCGACATTTGTTTCTCCTTTAATACTTTATTAAAGCCGAGGTATACATCCATTTTATACATTAGAAAATGTCACTACAGCAATTTTATCATGGGAGAGAACAACATTACAAATGTCAGAAGATTGTCAATATATTGGAATTTTTCGTTGTCTATCTGTTCGTTATGAATGTCTTATATTAAATCCACGCGAAGAGATTAAAAAAGTTCTTGGTAGATTAATGTATTTCAATGAGTTAAATGTTTATTATTTCAATGTACAATAAAATTCTTTGTTTTTATTAAATTGTCTGTCGGTTAATCGGTTAAGTGCTCTGCTGCGAGACTGGTAGGTCCTGGGTTCGAATCTCGTGAGGCGTATCGTGGATGCGCACTGTTGAGGAGTCCCACAATAGAAGAAACGGCTGTCCAATGCTTCCAGGTTTTCTATGATGGTCTAGCTTCATTTGACTAATGATTTCAACTAGGAAAAGTCGGTAAATAGAAATATTTCTAAAGATCATTGAGATATCTATTTACTAATGGAAGATTGAACTTCTTATTCTGTCGTAAAAAACGTTTATACACTTTCTTAATTACTTTTATGCAAATGCAATCGGCAACTAATATACTGCTGTATGTAAACGTTTATAGGAGATATGACTAACAGTTGAAACATTTTTGTAAGATGTGATTCCTTGAATTCCATAGGAAGCATTTAGTTGTGATTGGATGTTAAATCCTATCAGTCGGATGAAAATTATTTTTAACAGTTGAATTCGAGTATCGATCTGAACTAGGCCATCATTGAAAACCTGAAAGCACTGGAGGGCCGCTTCGTCCTAGTATGAGACTATTCGTCAATACGCATCCACGATCTCTCAGGCGTAACCCAAACACAAGACATTAGACCTCGCGCGGGAACGCTTAACCTGTAGACCATTGAGCCGACATCTGACGGTGTTACTGTCCAATATCAAACTATTGTTGACCCTGGGTTCGAGTCCTGCGTAAGAAATCACGGATGCAAACTGTTGAGGAGTCTCATACTAGGACGAAATGGCCCTCTAATGCTTTCATGTTGTCAATGGTGGTTTAGCTCAGATCGACTTGTGAATTCAACCGTTAAAAATATTACAATCTCTAAAATCGGCTTACGGAAAAACATTTTCAATAGTTGAAATCATGAGTCAATTGAGCCTAGACCACTATTGAAAAACCTGTGAGCACTGGACGGCCTTTTCATCCTAGCATGAGACTCCTCAGCACTGCGCATCCGCGATCCCGCCTAGCGAGATTCGAACCCAGGACCTACTACTCCCGTGCGCAAGCGCTTAACCTCTAAACCACTGACCTGGAATCTAACGGTGGTAATGTGTAACTTCAACCGATCCACAAAATTAAGTGACACATCCATCATTGTCTTCAGTGAGTTACTATCTCACAACAGACTCGGTGGAACTTCCCTGGTCACTGTCTCTCATTAGAACTCTCAAATATTTAAATTACTATAATATCCACAAAATCTCTCCTGAAAAACATTTTGTCGAAAATCTCCTGGGAATTGGTTCACTAGTGCATAATAATTTATTTTCTTGATATATATATATATATATATATATATATATATATATATCGAAAAGATAGAAAAGAGTGCATCATTAAGTGATTCGATACTCCAATTATCAAATGAGGTTACGTAGTAATCATTGGGTTAGAGAAGAATATAAAGAGGTAAATAACTTACGAGTTAGAATAATGAGAATTAATTTTTCACTTGATAGATATGAAGAAAAACGAAAAACGCAAGGATCATTATGGTAAAAACTGAATAAGTAATAATAATAATAATGTACCCAGAATGGTATTTGTTTTTATTCACCTATTGTCATGTTATTAGATTAAAGATGAGCAAAATATTAAACATAACATATTTGTTTCCGACTAAGATAATGAATGGATCAATATTTGACCACTATTGAAAACGTGGAAACACTGGACGGCCTTTTCGTCCTAGTATGGGAGTCCTCTGGTTAAGAATTCGCCAGCAAGACCGAAGGTCCTGGGTTCGAGTTCCGTGTTCATGATCATGGATGAGCACTACTGAGAAGTTAAATACTAGGACTAAACGGCTGTCCAGTGCTTTTAGGTTTTTCATTGATGGTCTACTTTTTCAGGTCCAATATAAGATTGCATATTCTCTTTTCTGATATCATATGCCAATTTAATTTTACAATTATAGATTTTCTTGAATTACCATGGGATGATAAGTTATTGGAACATGAAAAATTTGTTTATAATACGTCTAAATTAAACAAGTAAGCTAATGTTTTATTAGATATTTATATATTATATGAGGTAAATACTACATATCCAAGTATATGTTAGTGTTATAACTTGTGGTCGAGTGAATGCCCGATTAATGTTCAACGTGACGATCCCACTAATTGGAGAGCAGCGGTTTATTAATCGGACCAAATGACACACGGAAATAGTATGAGCAGTCTAGAGTACTTGTCGGTTCTGCTTCTGCTTAGCCCAGACAGTTAAGTCCATAACTGCCTTTGCGGTATGAATCAATATATTCCAAACATACTGAGTTTATATACCAAACAGACAGACCGTATCATAACAATTAAATAGAAAATAACATTTGTACAAGATTCAGCCAAATGCGGCTGTGAATGTGAGAAGCAGTAATTAATAGACCAGGGATAACTCAAAAATGGTAAATCGTATAATAATAGTCTATATGTCAAAATAAAGATTGTAATAAGAGAGACACGAACAAGAATAGTTTCGTCAGTTACCAACACTGAAAATCATCAGCTAAGATTAAATACATCTGTTGAAGTACAAAAATCGTCGAATTTCGACATTCTTATATGTAAATAGTAATGTAGTTCATAAAAAAATAACATCATAGACTGAAGAATAATGAAATTCGAGAAACTATATAAGGTGTGAAGCGAAAGAAACTAGCTAAACCCTATACCATAGGTAACGCTTTTTTAGCTACAAAGGCCTTTATAAACAAAGATAGATAAAGGCTAACAGTGGAATCCAGGACGAAACGCTCGTCCTGCATTCCACTGCTAGCCACTATCCATCTTTGATTATAATGCTTGTGAATTAAGGCAATATCAGGGCAACACGCACAGTATGCACATATGCTAATAAGAGACTGACCAGTTGCAGTTCTAAACATCAATGAGAAGACTCAAGCAAACAACACCATGTGAATACGAAGGCCTTTGTTTTGAAGATTTTCGCATTATTTAAATCCATATGATTGTTTGAAAACTCAGATCTTGTAATCATGCTTAAACAGGGTGGTTAAGAGTCTCACATATTGAATATGCTTTTGAAAGATTAAAGAGATATTTCAGAGATGATTATCAGCAAGTGAAAAATAAGGCACATCGAGCTTTTCATTATATCAGACGATAAGTGAATGTTGACAATATTTGATTTCAGAGTTCATCGTTTACGTTTAACATTAGAATGTATAAAATTTGCTTACAGAATTAATGCTAAATTTACCTTAAAACCCACAATTTCCAGAGCTCATGTGTCAACTATGATCCCAGAAACTGTACTGAATGAATCTATTTCTCTTAACATTTAAATAAATACCAGGTTTTTAAAGTCATTTCTTAAGGATACGAAATGCTCATGCTGAGATGTATGTTGGTCAGCAGTGAAATCAACGACGCACGTTTCGTCCCATTTGGGACTCGTCAACTGGATGATTCTATATCTCAGAATTGATATTCATATTGAGACTCAAACCCAATACTCTTTGCTTCAAATTCCATCACGTTATCCGCTACTGAATTCAGATAATCACTTGCGTATATATATATATATATATATATATATATATATCTGAAGGAATGAAACAGTTCATCTTGATTTACTATCTATTTTTCTTAGATATGAAGCAAGTTCAATTCAAATAATCAAATCAATTCATAATAATTCATTAGATGCATGGTCACGAAATCATTCACCAATATTGACAGAATTATTCAAATCCATGACTACAAATAGTTCAGTTTTAAAATTATTAAATTATGTAAGTGATGATATCCCACCAAATTATAATAATCTATGCAATCATTAAGGGATTGATAAAAATATCATAGTAGATAGAGTGATATGGATTACAGAAATGCTGTTTGTTTGTTTTTGTACAAACTTGGATTCATTATTTTTTTTATTTGGCTTTCTCTTCTAATCTATTTTTACATTTACACATTGTAATGACGTAAATTTTCAACAATCTCTAATTTCAAATTCTTAATAGTAACAATTTTTTCATTGTATCTGTTCCCTTTATTTATTTTATGGGTTTTTTTGTTTTTTTTGTGTGTAAAATGAAACAGTCACCATAGCAACAATATTTTCCTTTGAAAAATCGATCGATAATGTTTAGTAAATATAAACCGGATTTCAGTATTCAAATGAATGAAATAGTCAAGTAAACAGCTGTGATTATTCGAAAAAGAAAAAAAAACCGAATGATATTCATCAATTGTTCTATGAATCAATAGACAATTAACTATACATACTTGAAATCATGAGTCAATTGAAGCTAGATCACCATGGAAAACTTGGAAGCACTAGACAGCCGTTTCGTCCTATTGTGGGACTCCTCAGGAGTGCTCAACCACGATCCAGCCTTGCGAAATTCGAAACTAGGACCAATCAGTCTCGCACCAGAGCACTTGACCGATAGATCACTGAGTCGGCATCCAACGGTGTTAATGTCTAACTTCAACTATACAATGAAAAATAATAATTAACTAAAAAGTTATAAATGAACCTCTCAAATATGTTATCGATAATTAAGAATTATTAAGTATAAGGTATAAAGTATGCATGGATTTTTTGAGTAGTGATAATTAGCTTCATACTACTTCAATTCATTTGTTTTGTATTGTTTGAAATTGTTCATAAATAATTGAAGTTTGAAAATTGGTCTTTATTCCAAAGATCCCGAACAAAAAAAAGGTTGAATGATACATGGTTAGTTGAAATAAATTCAGTTGTATTATTTTTCTGAGTGTAGTGCTTCGATATGAACTTCAATAAGCCTTAAACTAAATATGTGATCACGAATAAATGATATGATAATATATTCCAAAATTAATATTGTTATATCGTATCGATTTCTGGCCTCTTAATATATATGTATATGTCCAATGATACAGAAAATACGTACGAGCAGTCTTGGGTGCTATTCGGTCCTTCCTATCTGCCTAGCCCAGCCGTTAAGTACAAAACACAAATAACAGCCTCGGCAATATGAATCATTATTTACAAGCATACTGGGTTATATATACTAACCAAACAGACCACATATATCAAAAATAGAAAAATAACATTTTTACATGGTAAGCAGAGATGGATAGTGGCTAGCAGTGGAATCCAGGACGCGCGTTTCGTCCTATTTGGGACTCGTCAGCTGGATGTACCTGCATCTCAGAGTTGATGTTCACTCTGGGACTCGAACCCAGTACCCTCGCTTCAAACGCCATCGCGTTATCCACTCGGCCACTGAGTCCTGATAGCCACTTGCTTGTGCGATGGGGTGAAGTTTGAATTCACTTAGTATTGTTTGTTTGGATCTTCCCATCGATGTGTTTAGGACTGCAACTGGTCAGTCTCTAATTTGTACAGTAATTGGCCAATGTGGCTGTAGCTAGGGGGAAAGTAATCAATAATAATAGTTCCAAGGTCAAAATAAAGGTTATGATAAGAGGAACACGAAAACGATTAGGTCACTTATTTAACAACTATCCAATAGGGAATGGGCATATTGTATTTGTCCATAAATAGACCTCAGATTTACGATTCATAATTCGCCAGGGGATATAACAAATATGTAAAGTATACATACCAGTTTACAGGCATGATCAACTTGATATAAATGGTAATTTCGATAATGCAATGAGAAGACGAAGTTTATCAGAATTATGTGATATATTAGCGCAATACATTTCGAACAATCTGATCACACATATAATTGTTAAGACATTTTTTATATGAAAATTAGAAGGTCAACTAAACAGGTTAAGGAATAACATTAGGATCATTTCAATTTTTTTTTAATAATTTTTTTTGTCCCCCTTAATCAAAAAAGTTTCATCCCATTTTCCAATATTTTTCAACCCCTTTCGTCCAATGAAATTCCTAGTTGTAAATGCGTTGTAATTGGTTATGTAATTCTTGAAATTCGTATAAAAGCTCTGTACTTATGGATATAGATAATTTTCTTCACAATATGGACGTCAGTAACGTGCAAATTAGAGGCTCTGTTGTTCCTCACGTAGTCACAGAAACTGAAAATGTATTTTTGAATACATTGTATCTGGTAGCGTTTCCATCACTGGAAGCGTTAAAGAGCGCCATTAGAACTTATGAAATAGCAACGTACTGCCATTATGCGGTGAGAGATTCTAATTTCCATGGAGATCGGAAGCCGTATATTAAATTTGTATGTTGGAGAAAGAGCTATAAAACACCAAGCGTTTCTTCGCAGCCGATTAGACGAAGGAGGTAAATTGATTAGTGTTATTATATTGTTCATTGAGGACTTCAATGGACACACAATGTCCGGCCTTCATCTTTTGTAAGTTTCTTGAAGGTTATTGGACTGTTGTTCGTGGGAATGTGCATCACAATCACGAGTGCAATTCCCTGAGGTACGACTGTAACACATGGATGCGCCGATTAACGGGAGCGGAATTTGAATCAGTGAAGCCACTGCTGATATCTGGAACATCAGCATTCAATGTGATACACTACGCTTACCAATCATATGGGAAACGTCTTACAGCTCAAGATGTTTTCAATATGCGTTACAAAGTGTTCTCACAGGCCAACCTTCCTGGTAAGCAATGTGCATATTTATACTATTAACTGTAGGTGATTACGGTAAGTTGAAAAATCACATCACGTCACTTGGTGGCCTTTGTGATTATCAATTGGATGCAGATCATAGTCTGTTGTACTTCTTCTTCGCTACAGCAGACCAGATCAATCTGTGTAACAGGTTTTTAGATGTTGTTGGTTTTGATGGGACATACAAAACCAATAATGAAAACATGTTACTTTATCACGTGGTGGCTTTGGACATGAATTTCATGGCAATACCTGTTTGTATTGCATTTGTAAGTCGCGAAACATCGACTTTGCTGTCCAGTTTCCTCTCGTTCTTCCGCCAAATGAGTAACAATAGAGAGGTTATCGGTATTGTTACCGACGAAGAAGACGAACGTGCGCACAATGACCGACTGTGTGATATTTGCCATCTATGTCAGCCGCCCAGTGAACTAGGTGATGGAAGTGCTTGGATTTTTTTGTCCATGCAACGCTATGTTTCATTCGTTCTGTGCCTACGACCCAACAGAAGTATCACCTGGGTTCAACTGTCCCATGTGCGGCGCTGTCACGGACTCATAGTGGAGTCATCGATCAGGACCGAAGGAGCTGTGTAGAGACCGAGTAAAGGCCCTTTTCAGGGCCACCCACAATTTGATTTAAATTTTGTTTGAATTTCTTGTTTCCATTTTAAGGAGGAGTCATGAAACCATCAATACATGTACATATAGTTTTTCATTGTTCGTCTAGTGTGTTTAACAAAGGGAACTGTTGAATTTGGAAATATAATTCCAGTCTTTCTAATTAATTAACGTTTACAATGTTATTTACAAATAAAAATAAAAAATGCAGATCACTAATTTGAAAGGCTGTGCACTTAAAAAACATTGGCTGTTAACATCACCTGCCAATAAAAATATCATGCCCACCTCACAAATACAATTACCGTATTACATGACTGAGTACAACAGTAACATGTATTTTCGGTGATCATTAATAAGTGATCAACTACAAAGAATGTACAGGTCAAAATATTTTATGCTTTATAATGGATTTACAAAAAAACCTTGATAACCTTGATATTGCGTTCATTTTCGACACCCTTTTCAAAGCGAAAATGATCAACTTTTTGGTATTAAGAATAACGGTTTGCAAAATAACTGAATTATAAAAATTATTTGCTTTTTTCTCAGACATTATTACTAATTTCAGACAGCGTAAAAGTTGCTTCATTTACACATCTCTTACGGTTAGCGTGACTTCGGCATGACCCATTCACTTTCTCTTCATCATGATTTATTCATATATTTACACGAATATAACGTTTATTAAAAGAGCGAACTATGTGTTAAATTAACTTATGGGAATACTTAAGTGAAAATGTGTTCACTAATTGTGTATTAAACATTGGAGACTACCTTTGAAATTCAATAATCACCATTATCAATTATTAATAACAGTTGTCAATTTTTTTTCAAAAATTAACTTTCAATGATCTACACATTATTATTACTACTCTTGTCACGATAACTGATAACTTTAGTTGCATTTCTATTTCATAAAAAGAAATTATCCCGATATACATTCACTAACAGGAGTATAGCAGGGTAATGAAAAGGATTTGTTTTTGTTTTTTTCGAAGTTAAGATTTTTTACAACACTCAGATGGAACAATGCGAAAATAGTTAATTATTGTAAATAATAATCGAATGTAAAAATGTCAATTCTTACATCCAATAATAGCACTTTATTCTAGTTCGATTTGAACGAATCAAATTACAAAACTGCACCATTTACAGCCAATTAAAAAATTATTACAGGTGACAAAATGTTTGTTCATTTGCACTTGAGCACACACTTTCAAAAACAAATTCACCAATCACCAATTGCTAAATTTTTTTCATACCCTTTAATTTTCAAAAAAAGGGGGGTAGGGGATTATACGTGCAGTGATTCTAATGTCAACCTTCTGGATAATAAATAAACATTACCAGGGTAGGTTAAGGGTAAGAACAAATTGTTTTTGAACACATAAAGGGGGTTTCAATTTCCGTATAGCCAAGGCTTCAATAAACCTTAGTATACGTCTTTGAAGGCTTTTGTACAACACTACAAATGCTGATTTGATGTCAACCTTATGACCAGTTTCAACTAAATGTTTCGCAATAGAGGAAGATGTTTGTCTATCCTGTGATCTTATTTGACTATTCGAATTCATTTGGTTCTGTAGCCATTTAGGTATGTGTTCCACCACCCTTATTTGCAATTCAATAAGCAGTCGTGATTTGCAAATAAGGGTGGTGGAACACATACCTAAATGGCTACAGAACCAAATGAATTCGAATAGTCAAATAAGATCACAGGATAGACAAACATCTTCCTCTATTGCGAAACA